TGAGTTAAGGTCAAGCATAAAGCTATATAGGGAAGATTCAAGGACATTTAAAGTGTTTGTTACACACGAGTCCCCATGCTTTGAATTTGCTGAAATACATTTAAAAGACTCACAGGGTTGTACACTTGAATATCCGTTTAAATGTGACATTTATATTTCATTTCCAAGCATAGTTTACAGTAAAACAAAATATCAACTTTTGGCAGAAAAAAACAATGTAATCAATTTTTCATTCATTTTGCAACACTACAGATTGTGGAGGTTAAAGGAGGTGAATAAATCAGCAATATTTTCTAATTTATTCATACCCACAGAAAAACACACAACCCTCCCTCTCTTTCTTTCATGCAGACACACTCATTGGTGCACACACACACACACACACTCGACGTGCACACACTTAGCTTCGGTCTCATTACCTTAAAATCTGTCATATTTGTTCTGTGCATTCATCTCGATTTACATCCACTCCTGCATTCTAAAGCACTTGTTGTGACTGTATTATGTAAAAAGCATTTTGTAGATAAGTTTAATAAGGCTCTGTTCAGCCAGTGTGGTCAGATGATCTAATCTGACGTCGCTCTGGTGGTATTAAGGGATTAATCATTTCTTGAGAAGTTGCCTCTTCAGATTCCTGTCTTAATCAAGCCATTGAACTTTGAACACTTCTCAGGCCTCTGGCTATTACTGCTGACAGAGTCTGGAATATTATTCTACCTTGATAGATGCTTCTTGAGACATAAGTTCATAGCTGGATATTAAAGAGTGAGATGTTGATGAGGTGGGTCTGGGAGTCTCAGGTTGTGTGCCTGTGATCATGCTTATATATGTGTGTATATGTGTGTCTGTGTGTGTGGTCTGGCTGTTTACAAGTCTGCCTTTTTTCATTTCAGGGTATTACCACTCATCACTGTATATTGAGAGTCAAATAAGCCTATGTTCCTGGCTCACCTAAATTGCAGTTATGTAACTAATAAGTGTGTGTGTGTGTGTGTGTTTGCAGGAGAATCTACTGCAGTCTGTGCTGCCAGTCTACATCTCCATGAAGATGAAGCTGGCCATCATGGAGCGCTTGCAAGACTGTAAAGACAAAGAAGAACAACAGCGACTTGTCAAAGATAACAACTTCCACAGTCTTTATGTCAAGAGGCACGAGAATGTCAGGTACAACCAAAAACCATCTTAAAATACATAGAAAGTCATAGATTTTCATTAACTAGCCCTTGTTTGAAATGTCAAACTGTGCATTTAAAGGGACGGTAAAAAGCCTGTCTTATTGATCCTCCATCAAGGCCTTTTGAGGGCATTCAGATGTGCTTCTACATACTTATGATTTTTGATCAGTTGAAGTGTCAGTGGAAGTATATTGACTGTCCTGTGTGAGATTATAAATGTAACGAGGGTCTGTGGCCTGATCCTTCACTGCTTATAGCTGGTAACCAGAGATAGTGTCGAACCTGAATTAAAGACTACATTTGTGAAAACGTAAAATAAATCACTTATGATTTAAAACCAGTAGGACCAAATTGTGGAAATGTTCTTTCTATTCTAATCTGAAAAGTAAAAAATTAGTCTAGCTCACTGAACTATATATATTTTTTAAGCTTGCTATATTTTTTTATTTGAAAACTAAAAATGTCTCTTTAATCAGACTGATTTGACTTGACAGTCAGTCTACTTTGTCTGTATTCTCAATCAGTTGGTCCCAGGGAAACTTATATTTGCGCTTTTTCTATTCACAAACAGAAAAAAGTACACGCAAAAAGCAGATTTCCATGACTGCTTCTCGTAATGATGGAGATTAGTATGTCTGTTTGTTTTTAGAGCAGTGACCCAGTTACAGCTCTTTGTTTTACGAGGGTTTCATTAATTTAGCAAGTGCTGACAGACATTGGGTCAGCTTAAACTGAACTTTGGCAGATGGCTCACAAGCTCATTTTTTCAGATAAATGTAGGCAAGATTCAATGTCTGCCTTACCTCACTGAGAGAACTGCATTGTAGTTTCCCTTAAGAAGGATCGTAGCATCGTTTTTTTAATGCAAATGTTTTTTTCAGCATTGGCACTTTGGTTTTAAAGAGCAACTTCACTTCCAATCGGTTTAATGAAAAATGTAATGCTGGCATAAAATGTTTTTGTAATTGTAATGGCAACACAGATAGCAAAAACACACAGAAAATGGTTGTGTTGTTAATATCCACTCTGGTGTTTATGAAGGTAATCTTCACTAACACTAAAATCACTAAACTTTTGGTCTGCTAATCAAGAGACATTGTGAAGAAATCAGTTATGTTCATTTAGGGCACAATAAGAAGGTGTTTAATGATAGGCTGCACCCCTGACCTATGCCTATAATTACCCCAGTCAGACCAGTCATTAGCTGCGTCTGTCTCATGAAGCCACCTGGACGTTTTCAGTGGAACAGGATCAAGTCAGGTGCAGTGTCTGTGTCCCTCTGCTGGTCAGCAGACTGGCCGTTGTACTTAGGCCAAGCTGCAACCAGCCAGTAATAGTAGTCAGCCCTGTGCATTCCAAGTTAAATCCATGCAACAGCCTACATGTAGTGCTCTGTGGATAATTGTATCACACACACAGATAAATGGATATTTGTGGTGGTTTGGGCGTGGAGTATTGAATATTTATGTACATAGTTTGAAATGATGTAAATTTTTTGTTATGCTTGGATTTAGTTGATCGTTTGCAGACAAATGTGACATGTAGCAGAGTTACCATTAATGGGAATATAAAAGTCAAGTTAAACACACCCCATGTAATTTACGTGCGCAGAATTGATCATTATTTTTCCTGGAGCTCACTGAGATGAGCATGGTGTACACTGAGGCTTACATTGCAAGTTGAGTTTTAGTTCCCACTGTGACCAGCCATGCTAAAGCAGGGAGGGAGGTCAGGTGCTCTGTGTGGGCTGGACTTTTGCCAAACTTCCAGCTGTTTTTCCTTGTGGTGTCGGGGTCTTTCAGAGGTCACAGGAGATATCAGTGTCCCTCTGTGGTCCGCTGACCGGCAGCTTCAATTATGCCAAGGCTATGATTCAGCATTGAACCAGACAGGACTTTTAAACTGTCACCGATCAGGTCTACTAGAGGTTCATGGGAGGTAGGTCAGGAGCTTTTTGCCTGAAATCCTACGTCCCAATTCAGTACCCATTATGGCGGGTACCCATAATGGTCATAATGGGTCATAATGGTCTGACAAGGCTGTGCAGAGAAAGTCAGGCCCACATTTGGAGGACACAAATGATGTAAGATTCATGGCCCCTACTATGCTCCAATACACTCCACACTGGTTGATTGCTAACAGTGCATTCAGGTGGCCCCCATCAGTTTTTCAAGGTGACTGACTGATTGAAAAAGCCACTGCATGGAATGATGGAAGCCAGGGATGATCTCTCAATATTTGTTTTTTGTTAGCAGTCTGGACATTTAAATCACAAGGCATTACAGATAGAAGTGATATGAATATATTACCATTGCTCACCAGTTATCCAAGTAAAACGTCATACAGTAACTCAAATTTGAAAGCACCTTTCTGGTCTGTGTGAGGTCTCTTTTTGAGGAGAGCTTAGCCCGCTGCCTTTGAATGGAGCTACTTTTACTGTGGTTTTGCTAGTTTCTACAATTAAAATTGGAGCAAATCATTCAGGTTGTAGTTTTTATTTTTGTGTAGAGATTTAAAAAAATACATTATTTCTGTTTATGTAAACGTGTTTGTGTGTATTATTTCTTTTTTTCAGTATTCTGTATGCTGACATTGTTGGCTTCACCCGATTGGCCAGTGACTGTTCTCCCAAAGAGCTGGTCATCATGCTCAATGAATTGTTTGGCAAGTTTGACCAAATTGCCAAGGTGAGTAATCATTTAGAATTTCTTCATGTCATTATTTACAAACAACACTGACATCCAATCTTGACTTGCAGTTGACAGTTTGCCACTTTAAGACATTGTAGCAGTAATAACGCAAAGATTAGACTAAGTTGTGACAGAAAGATTTCCGCTAAACCTCAACCTAGCTGGGAAAATCTGGGTTGGGCAGTTGAACAATGAAACACTCTCTTCTTATCAAGCCACAACCAAAGCACTTAAACCTCAGTAGTACAAGACTGCGGCTGTATTGAGCAGCTCTCATGTGTTGGCGTGTGTACACTCATATCCTGTCTATCTGCTTACCCACTTTTTATGCATTATGGTTGCAAAAACATGTATGTTTTTTGGTTTCTCCTCTTGTCTTTCCCATTCCTTATAGGAGAATGAATGCATGAGAATCAAGATCCTTGGGGACTGCTACTACTGTGTGTCAGGGCTGCCGGTCTCACTGCCTAAACATGCCAAGAACTGCGTCAAAATGGGCCTGGACATGTGTGAAGCCATCAAGTGAGTTTGTGCCAACCTTCACACTCAACTCTAATGCAGAAAAGCACTGTCTCTCCATTTAACTCTTAAAAGAGATGTCATAAGCACACTTAGTTTTGAGATGAATTATGTAAATAAAATGTGTTAAAAGTTATTTGTGGAACCTCTCAGAGGATAGTGTGGTGTATCTGTAATGGTGGACTGCAGCGTGAGTCATTCTCAGTTCATTTCTCCAGTTTAGGGAATCACAGCTTGTGTTACTTAAAAAATATTGTACAGTGAGGCCTAGAACTGTTGAAAATGGCATGTCATTTTAAAGAATGAATTACAACAGTAGTGAAGTCTGAGCGAGTGTTAACTCTAGCGGATGGGCTGCCACTGAACAGACCCTTTACTCAGTAAAGTCAAAAATGTATTTGTTTCGACATTTCACATTGACCCATGTGAAGGGACAGAGGACTGTATCGTAATGTTGTCCTCAGACTGCCAGTGTGTCTTGAATGACGGTGTTTTGCATATCGAAACAACCAGTATTGCTGTGAAACTCCTCCAGACAGGTACGGGAGGCCACAGGAGTGGATATCAATATGAGAGTGGGCGTGCACTCGGGCAACGTGCTCTGCGGTGTGATTGGCCTTCGCAAGTGGCAGTTTGATGTTTGGTCACATGATGTCACCCTGGCCAATCACATGGAGTCAGGAGGCCTTCCAGGGTAAGTGATACTACCTCTGTATCTCTTGTACTTTAGTCCCATTTATTCACATTTATGTATAATATTGTCACATTGCCTTTACACAAGCTGAGGTTTCCTGAGGTTCATGCAACCTTCCTGTTGCCAGGAAACATCAAATTTCTCATTTTGTTCTACGGCATGAAATACATCAGTCAAGGTTTTTTCGTGTCTTAAGAAAGGTTTTTGCTAACAAGTGGCTAAATGAGACTACAGAGGTTGTCGTTTATGTTAAATGCCATCATGCTGAACACTTAAAGCTTGGTGGTAGTGACGTGAAGTCATGCGACCATGGTGTAGTTTGTTTATAGCTTAATGTTAGCACTTTACTTCCGGCAATTGCATTTATGCTTCAGAAATCATGAAAGTGGTTCTCATTAGTGAAGATTATCTTGATGAATAAAACGTGCAAGTGTCATACATTTTGTTGGCCACAGAGCTTATTTTCTGCAATAATCCAATATCCAGTGGAAAAATCCCTGTGGCCTTTTTGTCGAAAGAACCAGCGTGATGCTAACTTCCCGCTCGGCCCACAAAAATACGTCATCCCTGCAGCACTCTATAAATGTTATGTGATCATTTTAGCATTAAAAATCTATTGCCAGCCATCAACATCAGCTAAGGAGATTAATTGGGATACTGCAAGATTTATAATGTTAATAATTTATTACACAGTCTGACATCCACTCCCTGACAAAGGCTTTCAATCACTTTGGTGAAAATAAAATTTTAATTGGAGTTAAGGATTTGCTAACATTAAGTTATAATCTTGGTTCTTTGCCGTAAATTAACAAATCATTCAATTCATTGACTAAATATCTCCATCAAGTAAAAAAAATACGTCTTAAATATGCCATACAAAGTATTTCAGTGCTTGTCCTACTCTTTTCGTCTCTGTTAGACGTGTCCACATCACAGAGGCGACACTGAAGCACCTGAACAAGGCTTATGAAGTGGAAGAAGGCGAGGGCCACCTCAGGGACCCCTACCTAAAAGAGCTTAACGTCCGAACCTACTTAGTCATTGATCCTCGGGTGAGTTCTCTGTCTCTTGAAAATGCACATTGTTAGGGAGAGAATGAGAAAAACATAGTATTTGAAAAAAAGTCCTCTTACAAATAATTGCTGGTATGATGAAGCATATTAAGAGAAAATCATGTAAATCATTTTAAACCAGTGATGACATGTTTTAAATACAGACAATACAGGGTCTTTTTAGTGTTGCAGTCCTATTTTTAAAACAATACCATAGTGTACATTTTTTATGTTTTTCCCACCATCGTGGTTGCTACTGGGTTCTCCTAAGGTGGATCATGAGGCATAGAAGCAAGTTTCTTTTCCGCTGGATTTCTGTCAGTATAAGCCACAGCCATCACTGCATAAATAGATTTTCTGCCATTTAGATTTTTTGGCAAAACATTTTCTGCTTTCATTATCACTCTGCCTACAAATCCCCCCTACTCTTCAACAGATTTGTACATAAAAGTCTTACATGCATTGTGTAACCCATCCACCTATGACCTCCGAGCAATCCTGCAAAATTGGATAGCATTCTGTCTGATATTCTCCAAAACAAAATAAATAAACAAAAAAATAATTTTCTAGAGGCCAGCCTTAGAGAAAGAATGCTATCCCTGAGTGTTCCCTAATGACTTCTATCAGTACTTTTTCTTAATTTTTGTGCCTTAGAGCTTTAACTCACTGCCCACAGTGTAGCGTAAATGTAATATTAATTATGCATATGTCTTAAGTCATCATTGAACAGCCGGAGTGCGCCTAAACCTCGGGTGAACGATGGTCTGAAGATGCGAGCGTCTGTGCGTATGACCCGTTACCTGGAATCTTGGGGGGCCGTCAAACCCTTTGCCCACCTTCAGAAGCGAGAGGGCTTTACCACGGACACCATTGTCAATGGCAAGCAACGCAAGGTAAGCATGTTGGTTGTTTTTTTTTTTTTAAGTTGTTCCACCAACTTCTGCTGGAACCCCATGTTGAAGCATAGTGTACAGATACAGGGCATGGTCCCACAGTGTTAATTATTCAGGAAATAATATATGACAAACTATCTTTTTACTGTGCTTCCACCCACAATGGAAAAAGCTTATGCTCTGATGAATAATTGTAATAGTGTTTGAGAGGTATCTATGACAAGAAGAAGGCACACAATGACTTAAGGAAGTAATTTTCTTGTTAGGGGAGTTATTTCTCAAAAGTTGGATAAATTGAGTTTCCTAGGTTTTGGCCTTCACCACTCTCATTATCATGCATTTTTACTGGGTGAATGCTTTCCCTGTCTTTTCCAGGACATCCCTCTACGAACAGCCCCCAGCTCCAAGATCCCTGACAGGTGAGAACAACTCAGAGCTGCTACAGTAACTACAAAATGAATACCCATGTTAAGCACCCATTTTGTGACTATAATTATTTTTAAGGTATGTTCAGCTGTGATAGTGCGTGCTCACACACATTCACCCTGGATGTCGGCCCATGTAACAACGCTGTTGCTCAATAGCATCCTGATGGCTGTGAGGGAACAGTGTTTCCCTTCAACTTTATGCAAAGAGATTATCATAATGTACAAGAAGATTTCTTTTCATAGGAAAGACATTTTGATGGAAGGATGTCATTACTGAGCAAGCATTGTGGTGATAACTGGGGTCATGTTAGATTACGTGAGATTTTCCTTTGAGTTGCATCGTCTTAGTCTTTGCTTGTGGATGCGTGATCCGCATTTTAAATGTTTAATACCAGTTGACTTATATAAAGTGATTTACAGTGAACAGGCAGGATGCTTAGTGTCTTACTCTTACAGATGATGTGGAGGTGTATGTAACAAACCATCTCTGAGCAGCTGTGTGTAAATGCCACGTAGCAGAGAGGGGAAATGAGAAAATTACTGTTTAACCTTAAAGTCTTAGTGGTGGTTAGTTGGCACACATTCATATTTATGAGATTTAAGGTGTGCTGCCTCCGTCAAGCATAATTTACATGGCTAAAACTTGGTGCCGACAGACTATCATTGATCAGTGCATGACTTTTTAACAGACTTTTATTTTTTAAGAAATGTTTCGATGTTTAGAGATATAATTTTATTAATGGTGCTGCTATTTTAATGAGTCAGTGAAAGTCAATACATGTTCCCAAAGCAAAAGGAGACTTAGGAGTTAGTCTCAACCTACAAACGAAACATTTGCCAACAAAATGTCGTCACTGAGGGTCTGCTTAGTACAGCTGTGCTGCACTAGCAGTCATTTCCTGCAGAGTGGTGGGAGTGCTGAGCTCTATGACGAGCCCTTCCATTAGCCTCAAATAATGCACAGACAAATTGATTATGGTTGTTGCTTATAATGGTTAATTCTCTTTTCCTGTCTGGCACAGGCAGTAAGCGTAAAGACAAATATTTAAAGTGTAGCTGCTGATTAGTGGGCAGGACTCACCTACACAAACAGTGTGGGCTGGAGTAATGTGATTAGAAGAGATAAGTGTGCGCCTAAAAGCACAAGCATTCCACCCCGTGAGAATGGAGGTTTGTGTTATCTCGGTAATTGTTAATTTCATTCATGTATGCACAGTCCACTGTAGCTGAGGCAGCAGCTGGTAAACATGTCTGAGACTGAAGTGACAGTGAAATGAGGTTCACCCACTCAAGCTTGATGACATTATGTAGCAGAGTGTATTATTTCTGTGGTTAATAGTTGGTTAACAGTTGTCAGTGTGTCTTTGTGTTTTTGGCTGCCCACCGCTTCTGCCTGTTGTGATGAATTTGTGTTTGTGTCTTATTGTTGGGCCCTGACAGCTTTGATGAGTCTCTAGAAGAACCATTCTCCTTGCCTACCCCTCCGTTCAGCAGCTATAAGTGAGTGGGGCCTTCATGGCCTGCAAGGTCCTCATTCCCGTAGTGCAGTAGTTCTCAACCTTTTGTGACCCCAAAGAGCAAAAACAAATGCTGCTTGCTCATAGCCACTTGTTTTAAGTGTAAATGAGCTTTCACATTTTGTAAATAAGGTGTTTGAATTTCTATCATTGTTTTAAATTGCAGATTAGTACCCAGCAATCACTATGCTTCATGCAGTTTCCCAAAAGCAATTATTTTAATATTTGTTGAATTGATTACATTTTGTGGGAGTAGGGTAAAGGCTAAAATGACTAATTTAAGATAATACATATACACTGTAAATTTCTTATATAACAAAGATCATTAATATAATTATTAATAATTAACATGAATGAATCATTCTGTAAGTCCCACACCCCAAATGTCTATGAGATGTCCTGTCCCACAGGGTGAGAACTATTGCCTTAGTGGAGAGTCTTGCTGTCCCAACACTAACCTGAGCAGTGGTGTAAAACTGTTCTTTTCTCACTGTCTCTCACTGCTGCCTCTCCGTAACAGGACAACATATGATCACAAAAGCCGATAGAAACCCAATAATCTTTGTTAGTGGACTGACATGCTCCTATTAACACTGATCATTGACTGGGGCTTGTGTGTATCTGGGTCTGTGCATCTGTGTGAGTGTTTCCTTCCTGATAGAGTAGGGGATTTCCATGCAGAAGCACGGCAGAAACACTCCCGCTGAATCCCACAGAGATCATCTAACACACAGCATTCGGCACACACTCTCTACGTAACAAACCATATTTCTCTTTTCTCACTAATCAGAATGGCATTAACCACGTTGCCTCCGAGCACAGCTGAACTGGACCTGAGTAACCTGCATGATCTGATCTGGTTTTCCAGCATCTGTTCCAGTCCACTTGTGTTTTGGGTCCGTCCATCTGCCTCTTCTTAATTGTCTCTGTGCTTTCCGGTGCAGGAACAAATCCCAGAAGAGTAAGTTTGATGAGGAGCTACACAATGAGATGACTACTACCATAGATGAGCTCAGCAGCAAGTACGTCCATTTTTACCCATGTTGTATAATTCTTAAAATAATGTAACCCAAATTGCATGAAAGTGTGACTAAAGGTTAAATTTGCACCGAATCAGATGGGGCAGAAAAAACAGCAACACTTTTAAACAGCAGGTTGCAAAACACCTGCTGTGACATAACTGGCAAGACTAAATTCTGAAAAACATCAAAGTGACAAAATTCTCATATTGTGTCTCAAAGCTCTCAAGTTTAAATGAATGATATCATGTAAAGTTTGAACAAATCTTGCTAACAGTATGGCTCTGGGGATGGTAGTGTTGGTTTATCGGTTGTTTGGTAGGTCAGTCCACCACTTTAGACTAAAATATCTGGATTGCAAATGAATTTCGTACAAACATTCATGTCCCCTTCAGGATAAACTTGACTGACTGGTGATATTGATATCAAGATGGTGCTGTCATAATCATAATTTGTCATAATCATAATCCTCTAATTACTCTCTCTTTGTAAAATGTTTATCTTACAAACAGTCACAGTACAGATATCAAACGTGTGACATTGAAGCGTAAAAGTCAGAGCAGTTATCTATTAATTTTTTATCTCCTCTTTCCTACCTCCCTTCCTTTCTTCCTCTCTCTCAGGCAGTGGTCTAAGACTGAAGAGAGTAGCAGTTTAGCTCTGTGGTTTCCAAAGAAAGATTTGGAAAAACAGGTTAGTCAGAGACAAAACTACAAATGGATAATTGAAAGCATCTATAATTCCACACCGTCCTACATTTCCATTTAAGCATTCAGGGGCTAGACAAGAGCTTCAGGTGTGTTGTGTTTTTCCTCTTCCAAGTACCGATCCCTGGATTTGCCGATGTTCAAACACTATGTTGGCTGTGCCACCTTCATCTTCCTCTGCATCTTTTTGGTTCAGATGCTCGTGACAAAGGAGTGAGTATGACCAGATTTTCCTCCGTTATCAAAATGCAGTAGGGAAGAAGACATGCACTATGAGGATGTTGTTTGTATTGATAGAAAAAGGAGAGGATAGAGACTTTTTTTTTTTTTTTTACATACTCTGCTTTTTATCTCCCTCAGTCGACAGATGTTGGGGATGTCATTTGGAGTATTGGTCTGTGTGCTGCTGCTGACCCTGGCCATCTGTTTCGCAGGTCACTTACAGGTCAGTGTGTTACATCTTCTTGTTGACATTTAACATTAGGCTCTTCAGGTGATCAAAGTTCAGGTACTTGCTCTTGTCAGGCTTTTCAGTTTGTCCCAGTTAGCATTTAGGTGTGGAAACAAATAAGCCTCACAGCAGCTCTTGGAGCAACCTCTCATCTCACACTGGATGCAGGTCAGTGTAAAGCGGTTGTCATTCTTCCAGCAACACGTGTTAAGGTTCCACATTGTATAATGCTGGCTTGGCCCCAACCCAGATTACATGCATATGCTCTGAAGGGTTATTCAGTGAATGTGAGATTATTTATAGATTATTGTTATATTTATGTTATGTGAAGGCCACACAAGACAAAAACCATAAAATACAGCCAGCCTTTAGGAAAAATGTAATTTTACTCACCATCTGTCAGTAGTCTTCCATAAGCTTACTCACCATTATCTGGGCTATATTACGCAACAAGCAACACACAGATGAGAATTTTTAAATTAAAAACAAAATAGTTGTGAGATTGTGTGCTGCTAAGCTGGTGGCGAGATTGTTGTGGCAACTGCTGTTCCCAAGGTAAAGGAATTAACTTTAAATCTAAAAACAAATACATACATACATTCTGGGTCAGGCGGTGTGGAGCTGCACAAGCATTTTTGTCTTTATTTACATTGGAAGAGAAACACTGAAGTCTTGATGTCTTTGTCATGTTTAATCATGTAAAATTATTGTTTTAATGTTGCGTAATGTCCTTGCATTCTTCACATAATCCAGAGCTTTAGGCAAGTCATGTGAGACAACAAAGTAGTTCAGTAGTTGCTTCAGTAGTAAGACCACAACTATAAGAGGTTCATTGGTAAAAAACACAGTAACACAAACATATTACAATAGTTAAGTGCTTGACTAAATAAAGACAGGGGTTAAAGGGGTATGTGTGCATATGTGTTTCACTGTGGCAGAATTAGCCAGCGTGAGAATGGAAAATGCAATGCAAGGTATCCCTTTCATTCACTGTGCTGTAGCTTTCTATAGCTAACCTAGTGACTTGTTGGATGACACCTGACAATCGGCCCTTGACGGGCAGTGTTTCCTCCTCCTCTCAGACCGATTCCCTGACTGGAAATAGCCAGCGCTGAGTCACTCACACATGATGTCTGGAGATGGATGACTGTGCTCGTCATACCTGTTTGATTCCGTGTTCCTCCTCACTTCTCTTTTTCGCCTGCAGCGCCTGTTTCCAGAGAAGCTGTCGAGGTGCCAGTGGCTGCCAGCTGTGTCAGAGGCGGTGGTAAAGCGCCCGTGTGTGCGCCTTCCTCTGGCCACCATTACTACTACAGTCATCATTGTAATGGCAGTTTTCAACCTGGTAAGACTGTGCTCACATGCTGAGTGCTATATATATATATATATATATATATACTCTTCTATTTATAGTCTATACTTCATAGCTGTCATGCCAGAATTCAAAGCACGCTGTCCAGTGGTTGCTTGTCCATCAGATCTTTTTTATCCCCCTGCAGTGCTTCGTCCCGACACATGTGACAGACTATCCCGGTAAAATTGCTGACCTGCCTCATACAAATGATTCCCGTGAGCAGGGATCAGTGGAAGATCTCTTCTACCTGCCTGTGAGTGATGGATTTGTTAACTGTAGACTGACTGTAATAATGAAATGGTAATATTTAATGTTTTTTCATATCAGATTGGATTAAATAGTATTTGCAAATAGTTCTGGCATGTGCTTAATGGAGTGTCAGAGAAGACATAATGTCAGGAGGGGGGCTTTTTTAAGGCAAAAATACCAAAGGGTAAAAAATGCATGGACCATCAGACACCTCATCAAAATGTTTGATAAATTAGATTTGGGCCCTGCTAGATGAATGTAGATTATTGGGTGACTCAGGCTAAAAGAGGTAACTGCCAGTCCACAATATGACATTTAAAATCACAATACAATTGTTTTGAACAGTGTTGCACTTTAATCTTTATGGCATATAACAGCAGGCCACCACTCTGGGTATTTTCCTAGTCTATGCTAAATCAGTCCTATTGAATTTTGAGGCGTACTTGAATTTGTCTAGAAATCAGGACCATAGATGATCCTTCTTCGTACTTAAAGTCATAATCAAGATTTCAGTCTGGGTTGATTTGCCAACACCTGTGGTTACTGGTGGTAACAGCAAGTGTGGTTGAGTACTAATACAGGTTTGTTCTGTGCTGCCAAACAAACTATTGTCCTTTCAGTAAAGAAGTCCGGCAATAAATGTCCTTCTTCCATCATGTTTTGAGCAACTGTGACCTGTGATTTTTGCTGCACACAGTATGAGTCAGTGAATGGCAGGACACTGTGAAAGGAGCTGTTACCTTGCTGAGAAGATGGAGGTGTGCAGCCCGCCATCTGCTCTTCATCTAACAGCTCACTGTGGCATGCTCCATTTCCTGTGACTTCTTTATAGTATAATTCAATTCAACTGGTGTTTCACCAGTTAGATGCTTTTAATGTAATTCTGCGGAAGTAGGAAAAGTTGGTTTTGCATTATCAGTAACATGATGCGGCATTTTCCCCAGGAACGGCGCCACACAATACTGCAGATGCAAAGGCTTTTATCAGTGGGCCATAGGCTCGATCACCATTGTGGTTGCTCATATGGCAATAGATAGTGACTTAACAGACATTTATTAAAATGAAAACATTCGAGATTATAATTTGGGTCTCTGTTTTATCTGTCACTAAATGTGTCTGTCTTTATGATATAAGTCACAGATGCTGTGATTTAATGATGATTTATTGAATGACCATGATGATTTTTTGGCTCGTAAGTCTTGTATGGCACCATCATATCAGCGGCCTACGACCAGAACGACCAATTAGGAAGAATTTGAACACAGATTTGATCCAAGGCTCTGATATTGATCATACACACAGAATGATTGATTAGACAGTAATAAGTCTGACAAAAAATTCTTAACTCAGGGTCCACCTGCTTGTTTTTCTCTGGAGCTTTCATCTGTGAGTGGATGATAGAGTTTTGTCAGTTGTCATGGAGAGAAGAGGAGTTTTATAAATACATTCTTAATAAATATAATCATCTTGGGGTGCACTGTAGCTCACCTGGTAGAGCTGGCACCCCATGTACAAAAGTTGAGTCCTTGCTGCAGCATGGGTTTGAGTCTGACCTGTGGCTCTTTGCTGTGTTTCCTCCCCTCTCTCTCGCCCCTTTCCTGTCTATCTTCAGCTGTCTTATCTAATTAAGGGAAAAGCCCCCCCAAAAATATAAAAAATAAATAAATTAATAGTTGCAATCATCTCATAAATATAATAAACATATATATATATATATATATGTGTGTATATATAATGAATGTAATCAATAAATGTGAAAAACCAGTCATGTTCATATTAAATATGAATACATATTCTCTCTTTATACAGCACCTATAGATGCTCCACAGAGGAGTGATAGTTATTGTCAAATAAAGAATGTTCTTCTCTGTTTCCAACTACATAATAATATCCATACATATAATCATAATTACATAATGATCATTATAAAACATTTTATTCATTGTTTATGTACTGCTAATAAATGCTAAATAGGGGTTGTTAAAATAAATTGTCACTGGATTTGTTGCTACTGTTATTTGACTGGTTTTAATTCCATCTCTCGCCTCTCTCTCCGCCAGTACTCTGTGTACTGCTGTATCCTGTCGCTCATTGCATGTGGAGTATTCCTCAGGGTGAGCTTTGAGCTCAAAGTGCTCTTCCTCACCCTGGCCTCGGCAGCATACTACATCATCATCCTCGGCACCAAGAGGGAACTCTTCGTGGACTATGGAAACGTCCTCTGCGCTAACATCAGTAGCACCTGTAACTGCAGCAGGTGCGACCGAATGTAGAAAGTCTTGTAATCTTGAATGAAAATTGTAAATGGAAGTGAAGTCCAGCCATTAATGTTGTGGTTTGTTCTGCAGCAAAGAAGATGAATGCATCATGAAATGGATAGGGCTGGTGAAACACCCCCAGGTGATGAGCTGCATATATATCACCCTGTTCCTGGTCACTATGCTCATCATCTCACAACAGGTAGTGACAACCTTCTTGTCTGTCTGTCTGTCTGTCAATGAGGCAGCAAGAAATCAAGGGAAACACCAATGTAAATAGTTTTAAGTTCTGGTTTCCTTCATTGTTTGCTCTAACCTCACTGTGTTTGTGTCTGTCAGAACGAGTCCTGCTTCCGCCAGGACTTCCTGCTTAAGTATAAGAACCGCACAGAGCAGGATGAGATCGAGACCCGGGAGAACCTGAACCGCCTGCTGCTGGAGAACGTGCTGCCAGCCCACGTGGCTGCGCTGTTTGTTGGAGAGAATAAAAAGAATGAGGTGAGGCTTCACTGGGTATGTTGAATCAAAATGTTGAGGCAAGATATGCAGTATCATGGCTTGCACTTAATGACAAAGCCGAGGGAATCTCTTGTCCTCTAGTGAAACATGACACTGCATATTCAGAGTGCCAATTGTTGACTCACTGACAATGATTTTTTTGTAATGGTGCAACATGACATCCTGCAAAAATGTATGTTCATAGATTGATATAGCAGGTTTCCATCATCAGCACAACTAGTAGTAGTTAATGGAGGCCTAACAAAGTCTCCACCTGGGTAAACCAATAACTGTGCTTTATGTATTTTTGGGTTTGTTTCCCCCGACAGGATCTCTACTACAAGTCCTATGACTGTGTGTGTGTGATGTTCGCCTCAGTGCCAGATTTCAAAGAATTTTACACCGAGTGTGATATCAACAAGGAGGGCCTGGAATGCCTGAGGCTCCTGAACGAGATCATCGCAGACTTTGACGAGGTCAGGAAGAGAAAGAACGGCAACAAAAACCACTCTTTCTTTCTCATCCCCCCATTCGTTGCCAAGCACTTCTCTGTAATACGTGACAGATGTGTCTCTAAAGCCCCAACCTGTTATCGGTAGCGCGGTTCACACTTATTCCAATCCCAAACATTATCCATGTGGACCCTGGCCATTGCGCTGAAACAGTACAGCCATTATTATCTAAAGTCGAGCTTAAGAATCAAGAATAAATGAATAAAATGATGAAAGGAGGGATGATGAAATTACCACACATCACTCTTATTGTTCTTTCTCTAAACCATCAGCTGCTGTCCAAGCCAAAGTTCAGCGGTGTGGAGAAGATCAAGACAATTGGCAGCACTTACATGGCCGCTGCAGGGCTTAGTGGGACGCCTGGTCAGGAGAACAATCAGGTGGAGTAGCTACTGCTTCAGACCAGGGTCAGACCTGGGTCACATTCAAAAATAAACCACAGAACTTGAAGCAGACATAATGAGTTTGTTGAATGATATTTTCTTTTCAGGACAGAGAGAGGCAGCAGGCCCAGATAGGGATCATGGTGGAGTTTGCCATTGCTCTGATTGGCAAGTTGGATGGCATCAACAGACATTCCTTCAATAGCTTCAGGCTGCGTGTGGGTGAGTGTGCTCAGCTGATTGCACTGTATCCAGCTCTGTTAGGGTGGACACAATAACCCAGCAGGTTTCCTTGGTTACACTGTGCATGATTGGCATTTATAAAATGTTGTTGCCATGAGAGCAGTCGCCTTCACTGACACTCGAATATTAGGTTGTCGTGTTGCACTCAGAACAAGTAGGAGAAGTTAAACCTGCGTTACTGTAAGCGTTGAGTGATTTGTAGCATCTTCTTTGTGGTTGCCCGTAACGTTGAGGATCTATGGGCTTATTTTAAATTTCCACTCGTAAATGACTCTGGCTAACTGAAGCACATCTAATAATACATGAAGTAAATGTCATAATCAAGCCATTAAAAAGAGACGGAACCCAGTCGAGTGTCTGACAAACCTAAACCTCTGTGTGTTGTGTCTGCAGTCCTGACACAGTTATTCCCACACAGTTGATTGTGAGCAGACATCTTGGATAAAAGTTCTGCTTAAAACATTTACATTTCTTGAGAGATAAAAACGAACATGAGGCATAAACACTGACATTTTGCACTGAGTGGTATAAACTTTCTTTAACAGAGTGCTGCCCTTATCAGCGGCTGTGTCATGTGACTTTGAAACAAAATCCACTAACTTCCATTTTTCAAATACATGTGTATTAAAAAGCAGTCGGCTGTGTTTTTCTTCAAACGGTGACATCATACATTTGTGATTCCTCTGGAGCCAGTCTCTCAAGCAGTTGATATGTTGGTCTCTCTAGGTGCACACAGTTTCCTAAATTGCTTCATTGTTTGCATTCAAATTTAAGGTAGAACCTTTTAAACAGAATAAAGCTAAACTGCTCTCCACTCCTTATCCAAATAACATCCCTGCCTTTAAGCCAGTCTACTTTATTGAACAGTGGCCGATGTGGCCACGCGTGGCCATTACAGGATAAAAGTAAATGCTAAAACATAGTGTAACACACTATAGAGCCGAGTCATAAAGTCAGAGAAGTATCTCAGTAATGCCAGTTAGACAATATCTATACAATGTTTGCTGACATAAGTTAAGCAAATCCAAAGAATCCCTGTCCATTTTAATGAGATTATGCTTCCGCCAGTTTTAACACACTTCTTGATAGATGCAGTCAATTTTTAATGTCTTTGCTGTCTGGGTCCTCAGGGAAGCATTTGATGTAGGTCTGCACGCTGTACAGTGCTACAGGATTGTCCAATTGTCGACTGACTTGAAAAATTGTGGCCCGCTCATAAAAAACACTTTGCTGGTTAATGTCCTTGACACAAATGACATCAATCCAACAGCATTATATTAATGAATGAAAATATTTTTAATTGTTGTTTTGTTTTTTAATTCTGGCCAACTTTAAACCTTTTCTGGCAGAACTACCCACTGAGCCTGTGCGCAACCTGACATCTATAGACTCATTTCTCTTCTTGAATCTTATATTCATCCTGTGTTTTATCTCTACACACTCTTACGGTCTCTGTAAACTCTGCATATGAGAATTACACCAAGGTATGATAAAATAGTGTGTTTTTCCACAGGGATTAATCATGGCCCAGTGATAGCTGGAGTGATCGGGGCGAGGAAACCGCAGTATGACATCTGGGGCAACACAGTTAACGTGGCCAGCAGAATGGAGACCACCGGGGAGCTCGGAAAGATCCAGGTACAATGAGCCGAACAGAGGCCAACAGCAATATTTCATCTGTGAGAAGTGTTCTTAAAGATCAAATGGTCACCGTTGATGCTCCCTAGTTTTTTACTGCAGATCTCAACATGGCTGGATTTCTGACTCTGGCCCAAGTTTGACTTTTTATTCGCTTTTAACTACTGTATTAATTTAGCAGTAAACTTGCTGTTAGAAATGGTATTTGGTTGGTTTTCTTAGCTGCGGATGCGCATTCTGTGTGTCCCTCCAGGTCACAGAGGAAACTACGGCTGTGCTGCACAAGCTGGGCTACTCGTGCGAGTGTCGAGGATTCATCAACGTGAAGGGCAAAGGGGAGCTGAAAACCTTCTTTGTGTGTACCGACATGAGCAAGCAGCAGGGTATGGGGCTGAGCTGAGGCCAGGCCGCCACAGCCAACAGGACTGGACACAGACTCACGAGTCAAGAGTTTATAGACTCTCGTACGCCACAAGCGTTGACACAGAGCTGACTGTAATGAAAGCTGTGTCCCTGTGATGTTGCTGAATATTAAGGACTTACAGGAAGTGCTGCCTCGCTGTGTGGTGGATGTCACCATGAATCAACACTTTCTACTCTTTGCGCCCTGGTGGACAGGTGGTCAGTACGTACAGTCACTGTTTTTTTCTATTCACAGACACATTACACGTCCAGTGTTCAGTCACTTTTGTACTTTTTTTGTCTTTAACTTTGATGTTTGTGATAGAGAAAAAATGTGTATTGTACTAATGCCAAATACAGTTGTCATTTTTGAAGAGCTCTGCGGTCCTTTAAAAACAAAACAATGGATTCTTTTGGGATCATAATTTGAAACCCGTCTGGTTTTCCTGTGTGAGGAGGGATGGGCACACTGCTCTGTTACTGTGTAATGAGCATGGCATATGTGAGCTGTTTCAATATCAGAAACAGGCTGTACAGAAGGTAAAGATATAGAAAACCTACTTTACTGCTCCTGTCTTTGGGACGCAACGAAAAGTTTCCCTTTCTGGCCGTGCTGCAAACCCTTAAGTTACTGTATCCTCAACTCCATTTGATTGCCCAATAAGATTAGGGAGTAGATTCCAGCTGTAACAACTGTTTAATATTACATATATGGCAACATATTTGCTACATTTCAGGAGGAAGTGGACAAATCCATGTGCTGTATGTTTGTCCTCTGTTAGTGTTGCTGCTTGCCTGCATATGTGCTGCAATGAGGGAAACCTGTGACGCTCTCCTTGGTGTCTCGGAGTCTTTGTGATCTAACCATCTGCCTCTAGCCATCTCTGCATCTCTGAAAACTTGATTTGTCTTGTGGCCTTATTTTGAGACCATCATCTTGTTTGTAATTGTGGTTACATAATAATAATAATGATGTATTGGCCTTTATGTTAAATGTGACATTGAATACTGTACAGTTACAGATTTTAATAAATGTTTTCTTAAGTCTGCAGTTTGTCATATCACATGAGCCAAGGTTTGTATAAAAAAGAGGTTTATTAATCGACATGCATACAAATGTCACATAAAAAGCATCTTTCGTACAAAACTTAAGTTATTGAACTGTGTGGGTGGAATTTAATTATACAGCGACGACTGGAGCCGTATCCTGACAACCGGACAAGGTCTCCATTGGTTCAGCCATCTCCTGCACTGAAAACAATGAGAAAAAATAATATTAGATGTGCTAAGCTCTTGCTAAAACTCTGTATTTATAAGGTTAAGTTCAGACTTCCCAAATGGCGGACAAATAAATGTCACGTTTATATTTAGATACAAAATATTCAAGTGAAAAAGAGTACTTCACACCTTTCAGTGGGTCTCGTAAGGTATTACCTGTAGTGAGATCAATGAAGGGCTCAGGTGGTTCTGGAGGTGCAGCGATGCCCATTGCTCTCCTGATGCCGTGGACGCTGCTGACGTCACATGGAGCCACTTGACCCGTCAGCTCCGCCAGGTTCCCTGTCACCTTCTCAGCTGCAGACAGGAAGAGTCAAAAAGGAAACATTACCAAGACAGAAAAAATTGCATAGTTTGATATTTGCATTGTAAGAAGAGACGGTCCGGGCCAATCGCAGGAGGTTGGAGGCGGTCATGGTTCTGTTAGCTGTTTGCTACTGATTCCACCCTTATGTCTTTATGTTTAAAGAGTAGTTTGACATTTTGGGAAATACATTCATCCACTTTCTTGCTAACAGTTTGATGAGAAGATTGATACCGCTAGTAGCTAGTTAGTACAGCTTCAGCCCAGCTCTGTCCAAAAGTAACAAAATCCATCTACCAGCCTCTTTGAAGTAATTCACTATTTAATTCAACCCAAGTATGAAAACTGTAAGAAGTTATGGTTTTACAGGGGAAGGGAGCAGTAACTTCCTGAAGTCTCTGCTGGTTGCCTAGCAACCTCACTGTGATGACAGGAAACTTGTTTTCAGAGTTGTTTTCTTGGTACTGATTGAACGAGATACATCATGTTAGTTGGTGAGCTACAGAGGTGGACTTCCTTTGTTTGGACAGCGATAGATATAGCTGTTTCCAGCCTTCATGCTACGCTAACTAGGTGCTGGTGGTAGCTTCATACTTACAGTACAGACTGAGTGGTGGTTAGCTTGAGCAGCAATAGCCAGTTTAGTGGATGTAAAATCCAAGGAAAGATATGACAGCACTGGTCATTCTGACACAATGTGTGTAAATATTCAGTCCTAAGTTCTTAGCACACACTACACCAAAATGTACTTCATTAGTGGCCCTGGGATTAAAGAATACATTCCTGGGAATTAAGTTAATGTTGGCGATTTGAATCAGAGCTCTGTCCAAATGTGAATTCTTGTCTAAAAGCAAAGCACATCTGTGTAGGATAGCTGGTAAAGAGGTAAATGGAGTGTTGTTAGAGGTCTACAGCTGGTGGCGACGGTTTGAGTGGAGAAACAAAGGGGGCCATGCACTGAGAGGCTCTTACCCAGCTCCAGCTCCTTCGCAGTCGGGGCCAGCAAGCAAATCATGTTAGGTGGCTGCTTGGCGCTCAGACGCTCCTTCTGTGCTTCCTGTAAGTCACACAGGAGCTTTGTAGTCTCGTCCAATTTCTGCTGGAAGTGCAGGGCCTCTGTGACAGAAAGACAACATGCGGTTAATGCTTCCTCTGGGTTCCTCCAGTTACCTCGTGGTAACCCTTCCTGTCCTCCGTTACACGTATTGAACACAATACAGCCTTTCTTTCTCAATCCTGGAGTGGACCCCTCAGGCTTACTGTTACATTCATATCTGAGAGGACCAGAGAGCAGAGGGGGACAGAACTTTGATGGGCTGTTTGAAAGATGTAAGAGGATACATAATGGGATGCTGAATGGTTAAATGGCTCATCTAAGTGCTTCAGATGAGGGCTGTTTTTTTCTGTTGAATTACCTCAATTCCAACAGCATTTAGAGTGTAATTATGAATTTCTTTGTTCACATACTCCTTTGAGACATACAAGAAGCAGTCAGAGCTGACCAGGTTCACAAATATATGTCCTCTCTGGGTTAGCCAGATCAGATCTGTGATCCTCCATGAGAGTGGCTGGTTATTTCAGTTGTACAAGTTCATTATCAAAATTATTCAGTTGTTTGAAATGTTTTGCTGTTTATCCAAATGGCTTATTTAGTTTCTTATCTGATTCTGAACTGAAGCTACAGGGTTATTTTATGTGTGCATCTATGTGGCAAGTTTATACTCATATTTAGGCAAACATCACAATGTGGTTAATTGAATATGCAATGTAACCAGAGCTGAGACTAAATAATGAGTCAACAGAAAATCAATGAACATTCCCTGGTTCCAGCTTTTCCTTTCCATCTATATAATTGTTAATTCAATGTTTTTGGGTATTGGACTATTGGTTGGACAAAACAATCAATCTGAAGTTGTCACCTTGTGCATTTACCATTTTCTCACAGACACTATAGTCCACATGGTGAATCAATGAATCGACTAAGCTGGTGGCCAGTCTCCATTGTAGTTAACGGGTGTATAAAGTCTCCTGACAACGCACAACTATGAACAACACAGCGTTAAGCCTTTCCGGCCTGCAGATACCCTGATGTATTTTTTTTTAAATTGATAGATTAATAAAAAGTATTGTTAGTTGCACCCCTATGTGTACCACAAACTAAGTCAGTGAGCTGTTTTACCCCCAGAGAGCTCCTCAGCCATCCGCAGGCCTGCAGCAGAGTGCAGGAAGTCCAGCCTCTTGCAGTTGGAAGCTTCAGGTTCAGCCACCTACACGAGACGAGGGGGGAAACAACATGTTTAGTCAGATTAGAAAAAATGCATTCCACACTAGACAGCTGACGCATCTAGGGAACATCCAGGGCTTTTGAAGCCTCTTTAGTCACGCTGCTTCTTCGCTCCAATAAAATCAAACCTAATGAAAAGCTGCAACACCCGGGCAGGGGATGAGAGTAAACTGGAGAGCGGCCAAGAACAGCAAACAGCCAGGACAGAGGGTTGCTGTGTGCCTGATGGAGAGGCCTGTACTTTGGTTTCCTCTGCTGCTCTGAGGAGCGATTCAGCCGCGCAGCCAGCGGGCACTGAGAGAAAACACGGGGGCCTCTCCAAATTCTCCAACAGTGAGCATTGAGCGGGCGGCACCGCTGTGTTTTGAGGGGAAATGTTCTTTCCATGCGTGGATGGATCACAGCTAAAGGCAGGCCCCTGCTATGTTGACACAGCTGGTTGACGCGGCAACCATCTGCAGAGGCCATCTATAATGACAAGATGAAGTATCCACACATGAGGTGCAGTGCAAGAACACGTGTTGCACGCCGAACAACGGCACAGCGGGAGCTCCTCTTCCGAACATCACAACCAGCACTGATGATGGTCAACGGCTCCGGTTTTTGCGTTACATAGCAAACGGACAGAATCTGTTCATCACCGGGGACAGGTTGTTTTTTAATCTGAGTATCAGCTCCAGATTGGTACAAACTCTCACCTCCATGTCATTCTTGTCCTCTTGTCCTGTATGTGTTGCCTCCACCACCTGCTGGACAGGAAAAAACAATGACTCACTCAGTCAACTGATACTCTCAGATCTCTCTCCTGTGCTGTTTAACTCAGGAGTAAGGGCAGTCAACTTGGATCCATTAAGATGTCTCAATAGGTGCTTACTGGCTCTGTCTCCTTCCGGGTTTTTGAATGCTCTCCGTTCGTCATTGCATCCAGAAGATTGTCTGCCAGTTTGTACACATACTCGTCTGATTTGGCCAGGAACTCTGACAAGCTGCCAAACAAACACACACACACAAACATTGGCCACTATTGTTTTCGAAGCAACAGCGGGGTAAAAATCAGAATCACATTCTTTGCCAAGAACAATGAGAAGTGGATATCGACTGTGCTGACACTTGCTGAAGCAGCAACTGTACCTTCTGCACACTGGAAGACAGACAGTCAAAATGTGCTCCACCTCACAAGAGGTGACCAAGCAGTAACAATAACCACTGAATAAAGTCAAAGTAAATACATAACTGCTCTCTTCCACAAGGATTCACATACAATGAAGAGCCGACTAGAGTTGAAAACACACAGCGGCACGTCAGACGACCGCACATAAAAATAATGGGGGGAAAATAATGAAAAGTATTTATTCTATTATAAAAGTCGAGTAAAAAGCATTCAGTAGAAAGCATTTAGGACAAGCACGGGACGATAGGAAAATTAAATGTCTACATTATCGAGGCCAAAATAATTGTGATACAGCGATACATGAAAACATAACTTTGTTACTTTATTTTGTTAAACACATTTATTGCATTACGGATAGGAGACCTCATCTCCCTGTTTATTTTGGAATCTATACTATTT